AATAAATGTTTTATTTTAGAGTCGTTTTAAATTACAGAAAAGTTACAAAGACTGTGCAGAGAGTTTCTAAATGTCCCTCACCCAATTTCCTTGTTAACATCTTACATAACCCTGGCACATTAGTCACAACTAAGAAACTAGCATTGGTCCATTACTATTAACTAAACTCCATCAATCTGTTTTTTAATGATCTATCAGCTGTTAACTCAATTTGATATTTCTCCTGTTTTGTTGAAAGCACAGAATTAGAAACATCTGACTTGCAAAAGGATTTGTCATCCAGCCTTTCCCTTTCTTGTCTCCTGGGAAGTGTATAAAAAAAGCTTTACCAAGACTTACATGTAATTGTTGATTATACCTGTTTCTCTCTTACGTGTCAAATCGGATACTCTTGAAGTATTAGGAAAACCAAAATAGTAATAACTTTAATATATCTTTGTTGCTACCATATTTCTTGATAAAATGCTGTGTCTTATATTACAACTTTGGAGCTTCAGATTTGTCTCATTTAACTTATGGAAAATATTTCAGGTTAGCCACATAATCTTCATGCCAAAGCAGCCTTTATGGTTAAAGAGTTCAGTAAAATTAGTCCTAGATGGTTTTCTCAATGGTTAGAGAGTCGGTCCATGTACTGAAGGGTTGCAGGTTTGATTCCAGTCAAGGGCACATGCCTCAGTTTCAGCCTTAAACCTTGCCCCGCTCTCACATTGATGTTTCTCTCTCCCCCACTCCCTTATACTCTCTCTAAAAAACAATGGAAGATATATCCTCTGTTGAGGATTACAAAAAAAAAAAGCAGCAAAATGAAACCTATTTTTTTTTAAATATATTTTTATTGATTTCAGAGAGGAAGGGAGAGGGAGAGAGAGAGAAAGAAACATCAATGATGAGAGACAATTATTGATTGGCTGCCTCCTGCTTGCCCCACACTGGGGACCGAACCTGCAACCAGGGCATGTGCCCTGACCAGGAATCTAACTGTGACCTCCTGGTTCATAGGTCGACACTTAACCACTGAGCCACTCCGGCCAGGCAAATCTATTTTTTTAATTATGTTTTATTGATTTTTTATAGAGATGAAGGGAGAGAGATAGTTAGAAACATCGATGAGAGAGAAACATCAATTAGCTGCCTCCTGCACATCCCCTACTGGGGATATGTCCGCAACCCAGGTACATGCCCTTGATCGTAATCGAACCTGGGACCTTTCAGTCCACAGGCCCACGCTCTATCCACTGAGCCAAACCGGTTCTGGCCAAATCTATTTTTTAATGTAAAAAAAAATATTAATGTGTTAATGAATTTGAATACTAAGTGGGCAAATGGATAGGGTATAGATCTTGCCTTGAGTTTACTGTCCAGAGTCATGCTGCAGGAAGGCATGGCCATCTGTAATATTTCTTTCCCCCTACTTTCTTTTTAAAAAAATTTTTCAATTATAGTTGACATACAATGCCGGGGTCTAACCCCAGCAGGTCCAGGGGTTCCCAAAGGTGTAGACGGAGTCGGCGAAGAAGGAATGACACGGAGACAGCATTCAGATGATCATCATAGCGAGGTTCTCTAGCCAAGTTCTATGTCTAGGTTCTTCAGCGAAGTTCTGGTTAGGATCTCCAGTCAGGTTCTCTTGCCAATTTCTGTAGTCAGGTTCAGTCCAGGATCTTTTGCCATGTTCTCTCCAGCCGGAGAGGTGACCTTGGTTAAAACACATAGTGCCAAGAAGGTGACCAAACATATTAAGAACAGTATGCCATATATGCCAGGTCCCTTGAAACAGCAAGGATGGACCGGCTCCCGGCAATACAATATTACATTAGTTTCAGGTGTACAATATAGTGATTAGACATTTATATAACTTATGAAATGATCACCCCAATAAGTCTAGGAGCTATCTGACATAGTTATTACAATATTACTGATTATATTTTCCATTGATGTCAAGAGGGTACTAAAGTCCCCTACTCTGACTATATTACTATCAGTCTCTCCCTTTATGTTCATTCATATTTGCTTTATATATTAGGTGCTCTTAGATTGAGTGCTTAGATGTTATGAGAGTTATGTCCACTTTTTGGGTTGATCTCTTCATCATCATGCAATGTCCTTTGTCTCCTGTTATAGCCCTTGTTTTCTCTGATAGAAGTATTGCTACCCCACTTTTTTTTATTTGCATTTGCATAAAATACCTTTTCTCATCCCTTTATTTTCAGTGTGTGTGTGTCTTTTGATCCCTAGTGGGTCTCTTGTAGCCAGCATATGCATGGGTCTTGTCTTTTTATCCATTTAGCCATCTTATGTCTTTTGATGTCCATTGATATTTAAAGTAATTATTGATAGGTATGTAGTTCTTGCCATTTTGTTAGCTTTTTAAAAATTGTTTTTGTAGTTTTTCTCTTCCTTTCTTATTCTCTTGCTATCTTCTGTTGTATGTTAATGAATTTCCTTAGTGTGTGGATTCCTATCTATATTCTTACATCTCTTGTGGATTTTTGGTTTATGGTTACAATGTGCTTCCTATATAAAAAGCTATGTTTATAGCAGTCTATTTTAAATTTTTGGTTGCTTAAATTTAAACATGATCTATAAGCATCACAATTTTTACCCCCTTCCATGTTTATGTTTTTGTCTTTTTTACTTCATGTTTCTGTGTGTGTATGTTTATCACTTAATTTATTGTTGTAATTACACATGATCTTCCTACTTTTGCCTTTTAACCTTTTTACTAGCTTTATAGTTGGTTGATCCACTGCTTTTATTATGTGTTTGCCTTTGTGAAAATTTTTCTTTCCTGTATTTTCTTATTCATATTTTCGATCTTTAAAAAAAAATCCCTTTAACATTTCTTGTAATATTCATTTAGTGATGATGAACCATTAGTTTTTTCTTGTCTGGAAAGCTCTTTACGCTCAATTCTAAATGATAGGTTTGTTAGATAGAGTCATCTTGATTGTATGTCCTTGCTTTTCATCCCTTTGTATAATTTGTCCCAATCCCTCTGGCCTGCAAAATCTCTGTTGAGAAATGAGGTAACAATTTTATGGGAGATCCCTGTATGTCACTAACTGCTTTTCTCTTGCTGCTTTTAAGATTTTCTCATTGTGTTTAACCTTTGGCATTTTAATTGTGATGTGTCTTGGTGTACGGTTCACCTTGTTTGGGACTCTGCATTTCTGGTTTTATATATCTGTTTCCTTCACCAGGTTAGGGAAGTTTTCAGTCATTATTTTTTCACATAGGATTTTCAATTTCTTGCTCTCTTCTCTTTCAGGTACTCCTGTGATGCAAATTTTGGTATGCTTGATGTTGTCAAGAGGTCCCTTAAACTATCCTTATTATATTTTATTTTTTTTACTGTTCTGATTGGGAGTTTTCTGCTACCTTGTCTTCCAGATTGCTGATTTGATCCTCTGCTTCATCTAATCTGCTGTTAAGTCCATCTAATGAAGCTTCATTTCAGTTATGATATTCCTCATTTCTAACTGGTTCTTTTTTTACAGTTTCTATCTCTTTGTGTAAGTTTTCACGGAGTTAACCTGTCTTTCTCCTAAGTTCATCAAACATCCTTATAACCAGTGTTTTAAACTCTGTATCTGGTAGATTGCTTGCCTCAATTTCATCTAGCTCTTTTTCTGTAGCTTTTGCCTATTCTTTTGACCATTTGGGACATATTTCTTTGTCTTCTCATATTGTCTTCCTTCTCATTTGTGTCTATGTAGATATGCTGTATCTTCCAGTCTTGGCAGAGTGGCCTTACGTAGTAGCTATCCTGTGGGGCCCAGTGGCACTGTCTCCCTGGTCATGTGAGCCAGGTGGCCTTGTGTGGGTTTTTTGTACCCTCCTGATACAGTTGAGCCTTAATTGCTGTTGGTACATCAGTGGGTTGGATTGACCCTCAGTCTGACAGACTGTGAGGACTGAAGGGTGACTACAGCAGAGAAGTTCTACTCTTTTGATTTGTTCCCACTGGACCCTCCCTCAGGAGTGATATACTTTTTGATAATAATTAGGGGAAGGGAAAAGCTTTAGTGTCTAAACAAAATCTGCCATTATTTCCACTGTCCTCACTCTGTAATATATCTGAATGCAAAAAGTCCTCAACTGACTCAGAATATCAATTTTTTAATACAATTCTTGTCCTTAGCCAAAATATATAAAACACTTGGAAAGACATGCATTTCCTCCTCCAGAGGTGTGCCATGCTAATATTGAGTCTGGGAAGTGGGAGAAGGATGGTTGTACAAGGAGACCCAGCAAGAAACCTTGACCACAGGCGTAGATCTCTCTTAGGTATAGACCTCTCTTTTTGGAAAAGTGCATTAGAAAGTTGAGGATCTGGAAATGGATTTAATCTCTCCATGTAATGTACCCCTTGAAAGGCTCTTGGGAACCCCAGAGTACACATATTTCAGATGGACTGATGCTGAGCATGCCAAGATCGTGCACACTATAGGGCGTGGGAGTGGCGTCTCCACTTTTCACCAATAGGCACCATATGGATCCTTTCCAAGGCTGGTTTTAATGAAAAGAGAGTTGGAGAGTCTTACCTCCTGGGCTGCGGAGGGTTGGAAGATTATGGTCCTTGGTCTGCTTTTTGGCCCTTTGAGAACTAATGACCTAGAATAATTTGTTTTGTCCCTAAGACTTCAATAGTGTACAGACATCTAGAAACTGAAGACCCTCAAGAGACATTTACTTGCTCTAAATCTATGAAAATGGTTTGGTTCTAAATTACCACAGTAAAGGTCTGCCTTTGAATAGCTAATTTTGAGTATAAGGTGCTGAAAATACAATTTAACATTTTTCATAGAATTCTTGTACTTCAAAATAAGTCTGTGGCCCCCATTTTGAGAAAAGCTGAGATGTTCTGGGGGTTTAATTTCCCGTTTTCTCATAGTATTTTGGGCAATGCCTGTGAGCTGCCTTTTTGTTAGAAAAGCCCAGATTTTTTGCCATCTTTGCCTGTGCAGTCCACATACTGACTCTTCTATTTGTGTAAGAAGAAGCAGGGAGAAGTCAGCAAGGCAGCCAGTGCCGACAGCACGACCGAAGGCACGCCCGCTGATGGCTTCACAGTTCTCTCCACCAAGAGCCTCTTCCTCGGCCAGAAGGTAGGCAACCGTGTGGCTTGATCGGCTCTCAGGCCCTGGGAAAGGGGTACCGGCCACCTCCACTGGAAGGAAGGCCTGGGGATTCCCAGAGGCCATTCCTGGTTTCGTGGGTGTGGGTGGAGAGAGTGGAGTGGGGATGGTGGGTCTTTTGGAGTGGCCTCCAGGAGGGCATGGCGGGGGTGCTGGGAGGGGACCGGTAGGCGGGAGGAGGAGGTGGTGGTAAAGAAAAGGGAAAGGCTTCAGTGGGGGTGGTCAGAGCACCTGGTTAGTCTTCAGAAGGAGCTGCTTATGTGGAATAACCTGGTCCGCATGTAGCTCTGGCCAGAAAAACAGCCGGAAGTTAAAACTGGGTCCTGGAAGTATGTAAGGGGGGCACGGAGCCACCTGAGGACTCCTCAAGACAATTGTTTGGTTTTGTTAACCATGGGCAATATATTTTCAGCCGCCCCAGTGATGCAACTTTGCCAGGATGCCATGGTTTTGTAAAAGATGATTCACTTTTGTTGAAAATAAAAATGATGCATAGGCTTTTTAGACCTGAGAATGAGAGTTAATTAATCTTTCTCTATTAACACTAAAAAAAGGGGGTGGATAGAGAGGGAATTAAACTTTTCTTAATTTTTTAACTCCTACATTTTAAAAAGTTAAAAGTACAAATTTGGTCTTTTGTGTAAATTGTGTGTAGTTTGAATGCGGTTAACAACTTGGTTCTGAAGCTGCATCATTTTTAAAACCTCACTGTCAATTTTCTTTTGCATCTCAGTGACACAGTCTTCCTGCTCACGTCATTCATTGCAAGTGCTCCTTCCCCTCCCCCTTCCTGTCACTCAGTGCACTCAGGCTCTCATGGTGCAGTTCCTGTGGTGGACTCTGTGTTCCAGCAAATAACCATTTCAGCTTACATTTTATAACCATTGTCTGTATTTTGTATGCATTTTTCAAAGGAAAAAATAAGCAGCACTAGTTGTCATCTTAAGGTCTGGGGCTTTGAAAGTTTTTGTTTAAAATATTTTTTATGTATTTAAAAATTTTCAACTCAGCAGTGAAGGCAACCACCTGGGTCTTGATGTACAACCTTGAACACATCCTTTGGGTGATATATTGAAAGTTAATGTGACCTGTCATCCAAATTGCATAGGTTTGAATGAAAGTGTGAAAACCCCTGTAAGTTAGGACCATGTGTACTTAAGATCCCTTATGCCAGCGGTTCTCAACCTGTGGGTCGCCAACCTGTGGGTCGACCCCTTTGGGGGTCGAACGACCCTTTCACAGGGGTCGCCTAAGACCATCGGAACACACATATAATTACATATTGTTTTTGTGATTAATCACTATGCTTTAATTCAATTTGTAACAATGAAAATACATCCTGCATATCAGATATTTACATTACGATTCATAACAGTAGCAAAATTACAGTTATGAAGTAGCAATGAAAATAATTTTATGGTTGGGGGTCACCACAACATGAGGAACTGTATTAAAGGGTCGCGGCATTAGGAAGGTTGAGAACCACTGCCTTATGCAGACAATTAGCCAGGACTGGGAAGCCTATTAAGCAGGTAGGATAGTTCAGCCCCTGGAGTCACCCTCTCCCTCACTCCTTCCCCTACCCACCCCACCCTTGGGTGCCCTGACCCTGGCCTCTCCCTTTCCAATGTTGTTGTTCCCCCCACCCCCCATCTCCATTTATCTTCCCTATACCATCTTCTACCTCCTCCCAGCACCTCCCCCCTGCAATCACTGCCCTGTTGTCCAGGTCCATGAGTTGTGTTGTTTTTTTTCATCAATCCCTCCTTCTCATCCACACCACCCCTCCACCAGAGCTGTCTGCCTGTTCTCTATATGAGTCTCTATTTTGCTTATTAGTTCAGTTCATTAAAATCCACATATGAGTGAAATCATATGGTACTTGTCTTTCTCTGACTGGCTTATTTCATTTAGCATAATGTTCTCCAGGTACATCCATGCTGTCACGAAGGGCAAAAGTTTTCTTTCTTTTTACGTCTGAGTAGTATTCTGTTGTGTAAATGTACCATAGCTGTTTTATCCATTCATCTAGTGATGGGCACTTGGGCTCTTAGCTCCTGTTGACTACCCCATAGTCGACCTCAGATCAGAACTCGTCACACCCTTTGCTGGATGATTGCAAATATTTCTAAAATTCCAGCACTCAGCCCTACAAATGGAGATGCCTTTCTTGGTCTTAGGATCTGGATCTTGTCTGGGCTCCACTGCAGGTGAACCCTGGAAGGGAGGCAGCAAGGGCTACAGACACCTAGCTGGCTCCTCTGTGACCGAGCAGTGCCACCCTCTCCTCCATTTGGGCACACCTGATCTCAGGCCTCAGGACCAGGAGCCACAGGCACAAAAGTACCAGAAATCCAGCTAATACTGACTACACCCCACTCAGGGTCAGAGAGGGGGAGTCCAAAAGCTATAAAGTATTGATACTCTCTAATCATTTATAGACATGTCATCTGATGTTATTTGAGACATAGAGGAAAAAAGAAGTAGCTTTGACAAATGGAACTAATTTGCCTGTTTGATATCCTGACCTTTGGAGGGAGACTGAAAAGAAGGTTGAGCTGGAGCTCAGTGTAGAATAGCCGTAGGAGAAGGGGCTGAGTGCGGGGCCAGACGGGCCACCCGCTTCTTTCTCTAGTACGTAGTTACGTTAGTGGTGAGAGCAAAACCATGAGACTATCCTTGGTGTTAAATGTGCTTAATGACTCAAGACTTCCACATCCAGGACGAGGGACCCAGCTCCATCACTGCAGATGCTCTTTAGCAGAGTAAACTGTCCCCCCCAAACGTGGCATCACAGAATAAAGTGGCACTTCAAGTCAGCATGGGCACCAGTGTTGGAAACTAATGAGCTAGCAGCCCTTTCTGGCACCCTGTCACCCTCCCTGTAGCAGGAGATGGACAGTTTATAGTTCGGAGCACTATTTTGAAGCAGTACTTTGGCCCTTTATTGGCTATTACTGTCAGGTGAAAGTCATGGGATGTAATGCAAATGAGGCAAGAGTCGCAAAACTGACACAAATTTTTACACAAAGCACAATAGCATTTTACACAAAAGCATGTTAAAATGTTATAACACATTAATTTTGACTTGGATTTTAGGAAATCTTTCAAAAAGGGTACTTGAGAATGATCACTATATGGTACTTCATATCCTACAAGTCTTTATTTTTCTATCTGTGGCAGTTAAACTAAGGCTTGAATATTGCAAGCAAGCTGGAGTGGAGAAAAGTGATACTGTGCTCCCTGCAACTGTGTAAGGCATGGTTGCTAAGCTGCTCACAGGAGAAGCCACCTGGTTTTAGGAGGCTGGGATCTAATTGTTGCTGACAAGGAATTTCACAAACTGAAGTTTTAAGAGTCATCGCTCTTAATGCTCTGTGATTTTACCTACTATTCACACACATTGTTGAACGGTTTTCAAAGAGAACACAGTGCTGGGAATCTGAATGAGCTAAAAGTTTTTTCTTCTGTGGTTCAGTGGAGATTTGCAGCCCCTTTTTAGAAAGATAAAACCTGATTTTATTTTTTTTAAATACTGCAATATGTATTTCTATAAATCCGTGTCAGTGGTAGTAATGATTTAGGCTTCCTGGTGGGGTCAGTGTTATCTGAAGCAGTTGGGAAGGCAGTGTAAGGGGGTATGAGTGAGTCTTCAGCCTCCCTAACTATCAGCATGGCAGATGCAGCACTGGAGGCCACTAAGGGCAGGGGGACCCAGGGGTTTGCTCCCCCAGGTCCAAACACCCTATTCCTGGGGCTGGAAAACTGTAAGGAGATAAGGAGCTCTTGAAGCAGCAACGAGGAGGAAAGGGCCATTACCCCTTTCCATACTGTGGCTGATGATTGGCTTCTGAGAATCCAGGATGAGTGGAAACTGACAAATCCATGAAGAGTGGGCATTCAGCTCCTGGGCCTCCAGCAGTGCCCACATGTGTCCTGATCTTTGTGTGGCACCTTCTAGCCTGAAACATACGAGATGCCACCACTAGACCTGAGGCTTCTGAGGAAATTCAGGCCACGTTGCATGCAAAGTGGACAGCATAGTAGAGATGAAGTAGTCCTTTCATCCCACAGGCAAGGGCAGGAGAGTGGGCCACAGAGAAAACATGGTTCTCCATGAGGAATTTAGAAGCAGTTCTATGGAAGACATTGCTCTTTCCATCCTCCTTAGTTTAAGCAGATTTTGGGGACAGAAAAAGAATTGCATTTCATGTGACTGGCACAGGGAAGTAAGACCGGCCAGTCTTCTCCTTCCTTTTCCATTTTGAGGGAATGAGACACCAAAAATTGACAATTATAGTCTAGACTAAGCATGTCACTTGTATCTTTAACAGTCACTTTTGATTTCTTAAGACTGAATTTCTGATCATATTATTTAAAAAAAAAAAGATAGGATATTACTATTTCCTATAGCCAAGTAGGTATGTCAAGCATCCTGGGTGTCTATCCAGTAGCTCCAAGCCACCAGCTCCTTCCCTATCAAAGTCAGGCCTGATGTGCCCTAAGTAGTGGGCACCAAGCTCTCTTCCAGACAGCCAGGTTGGCTCTGCCTCTGCCTGCGCAAATGCTCTGGCCTGCCGGGCCCTGCAGGCTGCAGTCAGCAGGTCTAGGGCGCTAACTACTCTGGGGGCTCTCAGGCATTGCTCTTCGCTTCAGCGTTAGGAATTTATGTCACTGGAGAATGAGCATCTTAGAGAGAGAGAGGCAGAGAGGGAGTGTGAGCTGGAGCTGGCTTTGCTGCAGACACTTGTACCTAAGAACACGAAGGGGAAGAGTATAAACAGGATGTAGTCCTGAACCACCTAATTTAATTCCCTTGGCTGCTTTCACAGCTGAATCTAGAACTTAGGAATCCTCTCATACTGAAGGTTGCTATGACAACAGAATAATGGGGAGGGGGACATTCAATGACTCTATAGAAAGAGCCAATTGGTTGGGTGCTCATAAAACTCACTCAAGGAAAATGCTCGACCCATGGGGCCTCAGAGCAACCTCACCAACAAGGCGAAAAACATTTAAAAGACACATTGTCTCGCTGGAGAACTGCTGTTTTCTTCCTGGGCTTCATCAGACCTTCAGCATTACATGACTAATGGACATGTCAAATTAGATGTTACTGAGCAACAAACATTCTCCTCCTTGCCACCCCTGAACAGGCAGAGAGCCAGCCAACCGGAGTCATGGTGATGGGGACAGCCTTAAAGCCATAGTCACTTGGAGAATGGCAGAGCTCCTAGGGGTTTGCCCAGACTAGCTGGGGCTTCCACACCACCCCTGCTCAAAGAAGAAGATAGTCACATGGAGTCCCCACCCAGCAATGAGCCCTCCGATTCTGGGTCCTGACAGCTGCTTTTCTTTGGCCCACAGATCACAAGTTCTTTTAAAAGGAAGTGGATCCACCAGCCCAATATGGCTCATGCCTTCCTTTTGCCCTAAGCATCACCCAACAGATTCTGGACCCTCAAGCTCGCTTGCTTCCTTTCAGCATCCTGAGTGACATTTGGGTCTTTTGTTAGAAATGGATTTGTTTTAGCCAGTTACTCCCTGTTCCCCTTTGTGCCCAGTGCCCTTGAAGTGTTCACTGCCCTCATCTGTGTCCCAAGGCTCACTTCTCTGTGACTTCCCGGCTGTCCTGTTATTTCCCACCTCATGCTTTTCTTTTCAGCTGAACCTTATTCACAGTGAAATCAGTAATTTAGCCGGCTTTGAGGTGGAGGCCATAATCAATCCTACCAATGCTGACATTGACCTTAAAGATGACCTAGGTAATTGGGGATGGGGTTTGGCGTCGCCAGCTGTCAGATGAAAAGTTATGGAACCCAGAATTTAGGCTCTTCATCTTCTCAAACTTAAGATAGTCCACCCAAATTCCCCAATACAAGATGAATTTTTTGTTGTAGACATTGAATGTCTACTTAGAGCCATTCCAAATGGAAATGATCTGATGGTGTTTTGTTAAGTGCAATTGGCTGGTTTCTTATCCTTGATAATAAATATATTGCCATCTAAATTCTCTTCCATAATGATCACACTGACTGCTGGTTACTTGGGGGGGAATTTTTTTAAAAAAATGTATTTGGTTTTTTTTAGAACGGAAAAAATCTCAGGTAACTACAAAATGATAGTTTCTCCATTTAAGCCTTAATTAGAAATGACAACTCAAAGCTTCAAAGCACCTGAAAAGGGAGAGAAGCTGAATCAGTATACAATTAAGCTGTCTTTAATCCACCGGCAAATTGGTTTTCCCCAAATTTACTGCCTATTGTCACTTGTTCAACTTTTTTTTTGCAACTGAAAACAGTATATGGCTGAGTGCCACCGTCATGAATTATTTGGCTAGAAGGTGATATCAAACAGAGGGACAATATTTCTTCCCGAGTTCCTACAGAGGAAGGCTCTGCCCCCTAACCACAGGGTCTCCCTGCTCAGGAGGGTAGAGGGTTCAGAGCCATCTGAGAGTGACCCTCAGGTATCTATCTGTGGCTTCATCTTTGCATAGAGGAGCTGTCAGCTCAGGGGCCCCAAAAGGCTCCTGTCCTCTTAGCTGTGAGCCTTGCCAGGGGCAGTGGACTAGCACATGTCCACACCGAGGCATCCTCTTGCCTGATGCTGACTTACATGCTCTTTGTGTGCCTTAGCTCCCACGTTAGGCAGATTTCCTGGCTGGGAGGGAGACTTGTTCCAGAGTGCAGGCCCAACCCACACAACCCAGGTGCAGTAGTGGGCTGAGGACATGGGACTGGGACTCAAGAATGCCCTGCTTGAACTTGTTTTCCAACTGCCTTTACCAGATACCGTTTCTAAAAACAACAAAGGCTCCAAGCTAGAAAAAGCAAGGATTCTATCCTATTTTATGTACTAATACATAGAAATAAGATTACCTAGAATAAGAGGTAGGCCTGGGAAAATATTCTTACTCATTGAAGCGAGAAAATACAGTCCTCTATGTATACCTATACTGTTTTCTCGGTTTTCAAGAAGGTAGATCAACTGATGAATGTCACAAGAATGAATATCAAACCTGGAAAGTTAACTGCTGCTGACAAAATGGAGAAACTGATTGTTTTGGTTGGCCTGATAGTCCACCACTTTTTTTTTAAACAGATGCCATGTTTAGTAGCATTTTCAGTGGGGTTCCAGTTACACAGGCTTTGCGAAGTGAAATGGGGCATTCGTTGTTTTGTTATTTCTTTTTACCTTTGAAATGATCTCATCTGTGTGTTTCTCTTTTTTTGGGACTTGTCATTCAAATGTTTAATTTCAACATGTCACATTTGATATTCCTCCTCCTCACCCCCATCCACGTGTGCGCACACTTCGTGGACTGTGCCCCCTGGGCTCCTATGTTGGAATCGACCAGGTAGGCCAGCCCTGCCATGGGGCGTTAGTGAATGTGCCTGTGCGTGGGTCTCGGTCCAACACAGTTGATATACATTTGTTTACCTGTTATAGTTGCAAGTTGTACAGGCTGACATTGCCTCGATCGACAGTGATGCTGTCGTTCACCCGACAAACAATGACTTCTACACCGGTGGTGAAGTAGGTAATGCCTAGCTGGGTGCTGCCGAGTGTGTGTGTGCATGGTCAGTCGGCCGCCGCAGACAGCTTGATCTTTGACAGCTATGCAGGGCTGCATTCATTTCACACTTCCAGCTGTCCTGACCTTCCCAAGGTCGACCTTCCCAAGGTCTCCCATCCCCGGGTTGTGAACATGAAAAATACAGCTAGCTGTCAACCAGGTGTATCTTGCAGCTCACCAATGGGCACGCTTCTGGTTTAGAAACTGGTTCATCAACCTCATTTCTTCATTTGCTTCATGAGGCACAGCTTTGATGGAGACTGGGTTCACACATGACTTCAGCTGCCAGGGCAATGCAACCAGATCGGCTGAGGTGCATCCAAGACCTCTCCTGTGCCCTCTGTGCACCAGACACACAGAGAAGCTGTGCTCAGGTCTCCGTGCCCCACCCCCACCCCCACATCTCTCTCTACATCAGAAGCACATTCCTTCCTGAAACCGAGGCAGTTTCAGAACACTCTCCCACACTCAGAGCTCTCAGACTTACCAGGAACAAAATCACCTCACTCTGATGTGTCTTGAGAAACACCCTCCGGGACCCAGAAAGCCCCTTCTCTCCCCAGCAGCTGACACAAGTCATCGGTTGGTTCTGTGCTAAATAGCTGAGAACGGGCTGAGGTAGAGAGCACTGGGGGTGCTGAGCCTGTGGCTGCCAACTTGGTGCCGCAGTGGGCCGGGCAGTGCCCTGCTTTAAAAATGTTCTGAGGCATTTATGTGATGAGGCATCGATGGCAAAAAACAGAATTGGAGCTAAGTACAGGGGCTTGAATCTTAATCTCACCATTTACTGGTTATGGGGCCTGGGCAAGTCAGTTAACTCCCTGATGCCTCCGTTTCCCTATGTTAAAAATAGTGCTAATAATGAGAATTATGTTCAATAACTAATAAGCAAAGCACCGTGTTTTGTGCCTGGCTCATGATTGGTGCTGACCTACTGGTGCTCGCTCCCGTGTGTGTGATTTTTACAGAAGATGTGCTGGTCCTGAGAGGAGCATTCTGAGTGTAGATTCAAACACCAGCTTCCAGAGAGAATGGAGACATCTCTAACTAGGGCAAAGGTGAGGTCATTGTGAAGGATGAGGCTCTCAGGATTTTCGTGAGTGTCCTGGATACTGGAGGCACCGCAGTTAGTAGTCTGGTGGCCCAGCTCTGTTTCGTGTCACTAGCAAAGCCTACTGTTCAGTCTGCTCTAGCCTCTGTGATTTGGGCTAATTGCTGTCCTGGGCATTTTGAATTTCGGACATGAATGGAAAGACAAACCGGATGGAAAGTTAGGATTTGCCAAGGCTACCAGGTCAAAATTAAACCAGGCTGTAGGTAATTAAAATAAACTTCCCTTTGACAAGATTTTAGAGGAGTTTAAGAGCTTCCTAAGTCAGGCAGCTTAAGAGAGATACTTCCTTTCTTAACCAAATGAAAACTTGGTTGGAGGAAAATACTGATTTGGAGGAAAGTAAATAAACAAACAGCTGCCACCTATGAATTTTAGTGAAATGGAAATTATGATATTTCCTGGGCCTAGGGAGAGGAGAGTTGCTGAGCTGCTGGCAATGGAAGGCATGTGTGCAGCAGGATCAGTAACAGGTGGGGGGGTGGGGGTAGGGAGAGGGAGTGGTGGTTGGTAGAGCTAGAGGCTTTGAGAGGGTCACACGCAGTCAACTGAGCCCCCTCAAGAACCCAGCCCTTCCTGAATAATGATAGTGCCAATCCTTTCCCCCTGGCCTACTTGTCCTCAGCCCACTGGTATGCACAGAGTAAACATATGCTAGCCTCAGAGACATGTAAGTAACTTGGGTTCAAGAGCTTGCCCAAGGTCACATCCCTCACTCACACTGTCACAGCTGGGAAAGAACCGCAGGTCCAGACTGCCTGACAGACTGAGGAGGAATCCGAACCCAGGTCTTCAAAAGCCCACCTCAGTGCTTTTTCTTGGCGAACCAGTTCAAACTAGTACTGAGCCCAGATTCTTTTCTAATTCCAAACCAATGATCAACCAGATTCACACGTACTCTCAATTGGTTCCAGCTCCCCTTTTGATGTGCGAGAGGGGAAACAAGGAAGCTAGGACGCAATCACTCCATTTCTCATATTTGGTGTGAATTCCTGAGTCCCGAGACCGCTGGAAGAAGGAATGCGAGTGCAGAAATGCTTAGCCCCAGTGATTAACTATACCCATCAAAAGTTCTTTCTAACAGTGAAATAGACCACAGGCTTAGCCTGACATTTGTCCAAGCCTAAATTTTCGCTTAGGCTGTTTTGAACACTGATACTTATGCCTGCTTTCTAAGCATGAAAATAATGTTCTTGTTCTCATGGGAGTAACACATGTTTATGCTTGGGGGCAAATAAGCCAATTGCATTATGATTAACCCTGAAGTTAAGCCTAAAAAGCGAGAGTCTGACATTGAGTGTTGACAATACAGTTGAAATGGGCCTGTTTCTTGTTAAAAAGTACCTGTGTGTCTACATGAACATGTGCATACATATGTGTGTGTAGGAGTCAAGTCCTGACTGGGTGGATTGCCTGCAATCTAGGATTCAGTTTTTAAGTTTGGGCATTAAGTGTATTTCAACTTGCAAATTTCACTTCTAATTAAAGCAAGATTTAATTATAAAAATTTTAAAGTAAACGCTCTT